GGGCCTCGTGGGCATTGGTCCCAGTTCGTGTGGAACCATTTGTCCCGGTTCAAGCCACGAACCGGGACCAATGGTCCTCGCTCCTGGCCCACAACCATTGGTCCCGGTTTATGGCTTGAACCGGGACAAAATCTGAAACTTTAGTCCCGGTTTATGCCACGAACCGGGACAAATAACTTGCCTATATATACCCACCGCCGCGGCAGAGCACTCCACAGTGCTCTGTTTTTTCAATCCGGCAAGGAGAGGGCATTTGGGTGTTCTAGTTCACCTCCTATGCACATGAGGTGTTCAATGAAATGCCCGAGCCACACTAGTTAAGCTTTATCCTCTCGAAGCTCGACCTCTGAGCTCCATTTTTTTCGAGATTTGTCTAGATTTAGGGGTCCGTCACGCCCCGTCCCCGTTTTCACCGCCGTTGATCGCCCGCGCCGATCTCGTCGCCGACACCACCGTGGTGAGCCTCTTGTTCTTATCTTCTTTCTGATACTTGTCTGATTTTCTTACTTTAGATAGATATTTGTCTGATTTTCTTAATTTTGACACACATAATTATATGTAATGCACGCAGATGAACCGGCAATGGATGTATGGTGACAGATACACCTCCGAGTACATTAAGGACGTGCATATTTTTCTCGAAGTGGCTGAGGCAAACAAGCAGAATAGTTTTATGTGTTGTCCATGCACTAAATGTGGGAATATGAAGTCTTACTCTGACCGGAAAATCCTTCACACCCACCTGCTTTACAAGGGTTTCATGCCACACTATAATATTTGGACGAGGCACGGAGAAATAGGGTTTATGATGGAAGACGGCGAAGAAGAAGAGGACGATGACAACTATGTGCCCCTTGAATACAGTGATGCTGCAACTGGGGGAGCTGCTGAAGATCAAGAGGAACTAGACGATGTGCCCGATGATGCTGCAACGGGAGAAGCTGCTGAAGATCAAGAGGAACCAGACAATGTGCCCGATAATGATCTCCGCCGGGTCATTATCGATGCAAGGACGCAATGCGAAAGTCAAAAGGAGAAGCTGAAGTTCGATCACATGTTAGAGGATCACAAAAAATAGTTGTACCCCAATTGTGAAGATGGCAACACAAAGCTGGGTACCGTACTGGAATTGCTGCAGTGGAAGGCAGAGAATGATGTGCCTGACAAAGGATTTGAGAAGCTACTGAAAATATTGAAGAAGAAGCTTCCAAAGGATAATGAATTGCCCAACAGTACGTACGCAGCAAAGAAGGTCGTATGCCCTCTAGGATTGGAGGTGCCGAAGATACATGCATGCCCTAATGACTGCATCCTCTACCGCGGTGCTTACGAGGATTTGAACGCATGCCGGTATGCGGTGCATTGCAGTATAAGATCAGACAAGATGACCCTGGTGATGTTGACGGCGAGCCCCGCAGGAAGAGAATTCCTGCAAAGGTTGTGTGGTATGCTCCTATAATACCATGGTTGAAACGACTGTTCAGAAACAAAGAGCATGCCAAGTTAATGCGATGGCACAGTGAGGACCATAAGAAAGACGGGAAGTTGAGAGCACCCGTTGACGGGTCGCAGTGGAGAAAAATCGAGAGAGAGTACTGGGCTGAGTTTGCACGTGACCCAAGGAACGTATGGTTTGGTTTAAGCGCGGATGGCATTAATCCTTTCGGGGAGCAGAGCAACAATCACAACACCTGGCCCGTGACTCTACGTATAACCTTCCTCCTTGGATGTGCATGAAGCGGAAGTTCATTATGATGCCAGTTCTCATCCAAGGCCCTAAGCAACCCAGCAACGACATTGATGTGTACCTAAGGCCATTAGTGGAAGAACTTTTATAGCTGTGGAATGGAAGTGGTGTACGTGCGTGGGAAGAGCACAAATAGGAGGAATTTAACCTGCACGCATTCCTGTTTGTAACCATCAACGATTGACCCGCTCTCAGTAACCTTTCAGGACAGACAAACAAGGGATACCACACATGCATGCACTGTTTAGCTGACACCAAAAGTATATACCTGGGAAGCTGCAGGAAAAATGTGTACCTGGGCCATCGTTGATTTCTTCTGACCAACCATCAATGTCGAAAGAATGGAAAGCATTTCAAAGGCGAGGCAGATCACCGGAAAAAGCCCGCCATGCGTACCAGTGATCACATACTTGCTATGGTCAATGATTTACACGTAATCTTTGGAAAGGGTCCCGGTGGACTAGCTGTTTCAAGTGACGCTGGGGGACACGCACCCATGTGGAAGAAGAAATTTATATTTTGGGACCAACCCTACTAGAAAGACCTAGAGGTCCGCTCTTCGATCGACGTGATGCACGTGACGAAGAACCTTTGCGTGAACCTGCTAGGCTTCTTGGGTGTGTATGGGAAGACAAAAGATACAGCTGAGGCATGGGAGGACCTGCAATGTTTGCACGAAAAAGATGGCATGCCTCCAAAGCAGTATGAAAGTCCTGCCAGCTACGCTCTTACCAAACAAGAGAAGGAAATCTTCTTTGAATGCCTGCTTAGTATGAAGGTCCCGACTGGCTTCTCGTCGAATATAATGGGAATAATAAATATGGCAAGGAAAAAGTTTCAAAACCTAAAGTCTCATGACTGCCACGTGATTATGACGCAACTGCTTCCGGTTGCATTGAGGGGGCTTCTACCGGAAAACGTCCGATTAGCCATTGTGAAGCTATGTGCATTCCTCAATGCAATCTCTCAGAAGGTGATCGATCCAGAAATCATACCAAGGCTAAGGAGTGATGCGGTGCAATGTCTTGTCAGTTTCAAGCTGGTGTTCCCACCATCCTTCTTCAATATCATGACACACATCCTAGTTCATCTAGTTGACGAGATTGTCATTCTGGGCCCCGTATTTCTACACAATATGTACCCCTTTGAGAGGTTCATGGGAGTCCTAAAGAAATATGTCTGTAACCGCGCTAGGCCAGAAGGAAGCATCTCCATGGGCCATCAAACAGAGGATGTCATTGGGTTTTGTGTTGACTTCATTCCTGATCTTAAGAAGATAGGTCTCCCTAAATCACGGTATGAGGGGAGACTGACTGGAAAAGGCACGCTTGGAAGGGAGACAGTAATATGCAGGGACGGATATTCTTGGTCTCAAGCACACTGCACAGTTCTACAGAACTCTACCTTGGTGACCCCTTATGTCGATGAACACAAGAACAGTCTGCGCTCCAAACACCCGGAGCAGTGCGATGACTGGATTACATGTGAACACATCAGGACTTTCAGCAGTTGGTTGGAAACACGTCTCAGAGATGAAAACACTGTTTGTGATGAGCTGTATTTGTTGTCCAAGGGACCATCTTCGACTGTTACGATTTGGAAAGGATACGAGATAAATGGGAATACATTTTACACGATCGCCCAAGATCAAAAGAGCACCAACCAAAACAGCGGTGTCCGCTTTGATGCAGCCACCGAGAGGGGAAAGGACACATATTATGGTTGCATAGTGGACATAAGGGAACTTGACTACAGAGTAGATTTTAAGGTCCCTTTGTTTAAATGCAAATGGGTCAATCTGTCAGGAGGCGGGGTATAGGTAGACCCACAGTATGGAATGACAACAGTGGATCTGAACAATCTTAGGTACACTGATGAACCGTTCGTCCTAGCCAATGATGTGGCACAGGTTATCTATGTGAAGGACATGTCTACCAAACCGAGAAAAAGAAAAAATAAGGAAGCGAATACATCATACGATGAGCCAAAGCGCCACATAGTTCTTTCATGAGAAAGCTTAACTAGTGTGGCTCGAGCATTTCATCGAACACCTCATGTGCATAGGAGGTGAACTAGAACACCCAAATGCCCTCTCCTCGCCGGATTGAAAAAACAAAGCACTGTGGAGTGCTCTGCCGCGGCAGTGGGTATATATAAGCAAGTTATTTGTCCCGGTTCGTGGCATGAACCGGGACTAAAGCTCCCCCTTCTGTCCCGGTTCATGGCTTGAATCGGGACAAATGGTTCCACATGAACCGGGACCAATGCCCACGAGGCCCCGGCCGGCCCCCTGGGCTCACGAACCGGGTATAATACCCCCCATGGGTCCCGGTTCTATGGGCTGGCCAGGCCCGAACGTTAGCCCTGTTTTCTACTAGTGACGTGAGGAGGCACCATTTTCGTCGATCCTGTGGTCGAGAGTAAGATTGTCTGTCAGGCCCCAAGTCGATCTTATGCATGAAACCTCAAGGTACAACAAAATATTCAGAGTCTCAAAAACATAGCTAGAGCAGGGGAAACGGTAGGCAGGGGAAGGCGCTCGACGAAGGCCACGACCATCACTGGTTCATCTCTCGTCAGGAGTGGCGTTACCTCTGTCCCGAACACCCTCCACGTGCAACAGACGGAGGGGAGCAACAACCCCTCCACCTCTAGCCTCTCCAACACCGCCTGTGACACTAATGAGCCACAACACTGGCCAACGGAGGATGCCATTTCCAAGCACACCACGAAGACGTACACACTAGACGCAAGTGTAACATCCCAAAGAAGTAGGACACGAAAGGGGTAGATTTAGGATATGTACATTTGCATAGCATGCATTTGAAAAATGTGGGGAAATTTTAAACTTTTGTTTTGAGATAACAAAGTGATTGAGATTTGAATTTGGTGACGAGTTAGAGCTAGGTCACCATAAGTTTTGTGGTAAATTTCAACACGGTCTTTGTTCAAATCCAAAATTTGGGCTTTCAAATTTCAACAATAACACAAGTGAGTCTTTGACTCATAAACACTTACACAAGATAGATGGTTCTAAAACAAACATGAACCATACAAATATATTTGAATTCAAAATTAAGGTTTGAATTATTCAAACTTGAGTTCAAATGAGAAAATTCATTACAAATAGAATAAAATTCTGAAAATTATAATAAAAATATCACAATACTCACAAAAGAATTCTTATCCACAACAGTACTTTTACAAGATTAATTACAAGAGGAAATATCAATTCGCCAAATACATAAATACATTATCCCAATCTCCGTGATGGCCTCCGTTGCCTTGCTTGTATTCGTCCACTTGCATTGCTTGTATTCGCAATTGGCAAATTAACTTCCACGATTTCTATGATTGTCTTAAATGCCATAGCGAGCCTATGTAATTAGATTAGATAATCAGAGGTTAGCATTGTGAAATTGGAAAGAATCATAACTATATAATAATAGAGAAAAAACAAACCGAGCAAGAACAGTTGAGTTGAGCATTATAGTTTATGAAAAACCATTTTGTGCCTCTCACGTTAGATTCAAAATTGGATAATTGTTTTTGCTAGACTAGTAATAACTTCAGAACAAAATATACAAGCATTTGTAAGTTTGCTGTCTTTATTTGCACACTCACAATGTTTCGGATTGTCCAAGTTTTCATGTATAATACTCTGTCCATTTCTATAGGTGGCATTAGCATTTGAAACATTCAAGCATCCACCATTTACATTCAACGTTTCATTATAGAGCTTACTTTACAAAATTTCTGAAAATAATAGTGCTAGCATCAATTGCTTCCTTTTTTTCTCATTCTTTGGTCAATCTGTACTTTCTACAAATCCCGGAGCAATTTGCGGGATATCCTTTAGTTATTATAGAGAAGCCACACTCAACATGTATTTTACTAGATAAATGAAAATGTTAATACAAAAAAAAAGAGCTTGAGAAGTACCTGGGTAGGCCATTTGTGTGTGGGACAAATACCAAATCACGACACTCTCTGTTGGTATTGTGAACCATTTTCTCAAGCCTATATAATTAGGTGACCAGCGTTAGTTATATGTGTTGCTTTCAGGAACAAATAAAAAACCTTCCATGTCACTGGATTAAATTATGCAATGCCAAACTTTACATGCAACCCCAAGAACAAACCAGAAATCAAGTAATGCAGACAATGCTATTTTTTAAATTAAAAAACATTGCTTGTGGACCAACTACAAGTACCAACCCACCAGAACAGCTAGTTATGCCAAGATATGAGATGACCCCATTGTAGTCATGGTGGTTTGGGTAATCTTTATAGGTTATAATAACATGAATGCAGTCTTTGATATTTTAAACAGATCGTTGGTCAAAAATAGTATGTTTGAATCATGGAATACATGCATATCTTAAAAAGAAGAGATGTACAGAGCTAGGATTTTGAGCAGAAGCATTATAGTTACCTGTAGGTACTGGCATCCCACAAACATACAGTCCCGTCATCTAACATTGTAACCAGTATTGGAAGCTTTGGGTGGCAAGCAACCCAGGTCGTTTTGTGCCCACTCACGCTAAGAGTGTGAACAACTTTTCGTGTCTTCAAATCCCATATCTGATTTTCACACAAATTATGAGGCTTATATATGCAAACAACTATTATCAATCCTGTTATGAAAACAATCATTAATGCTTAATATTCTTCACCTCGGAGTTGTGTGAGTCAAATTTCAAAGTAACCATCAAGTGCTGATGACCGCTAGTGAAGAAATAATCGGCCATGACGAATGGCCCCTTCAGTGTGGCTTCAAGAATGAAAGTTTTGATGTTCCAGACCTATAAATCTCATGCAGAGAAGACATCTTTTAACATTATATATACAAATAACAACCGAAATAACTGAATTAGTCGATTATTCACTAACTACCACACGCACACTGCATGAAGACTTAGGAAAGGAAGAGGCTATAACAAACCTTTACTCTTTCCTCAACGGTAAGACAAGCAAAAGTGTTGGTGTCCCTTGGATTAAACTTGACACTGCGCACACCATCGTAATATGTATTCTCAGGTTTCACGTAGAAATTTTGAAATTTCCAGTTCTCGCTCCGGTCCCAAAGCTTGATATTTCTACTAAAAGCAGACGATGAAAGAAGAAGGTATGGCTTTGTTGGGTGAGCAGCCAGAGAGTTCACAGATTTCTTATCATAAGCTCTGAATTTCTCGACCTCATGCAGCTTAGTGTCGGTGGAATCATAGACATAGATGTATCCGTGACCATCCCCCACTACCAACCGTTTCCCTTCAGTGGTAAATTTGACTGAAAAAACCGAATGTTGGACAGACGTCTCTTTTATGTATTGAGAAAAGGCAGGTCGCTGCCATGCACCCTTGTCTGGCACCTCATTGACCTGCAACTTCATCACAGTTTCCTGCCACACAATCAACAGATTAAGTTTCAGCAACTTAATTTTCACTGCATTAGCAACCACACGCTGGCTATAAAGTAGCAGTAATGATACCTGCTTCTGGTAGTCCCAAATGGAAAAACTCCCTCCCTCATGGCCCGTCACAATCCTGTGATGCATATTATAGTGCAAATAAGAGGAAGTCTTGGAATAAATAATAAAAGAGTTGCGTCACTGGATAATTCTATAAATATGACTCACCATGGCTTAGTGGGGTGCGCGTCAATGGATGTCACCAAGGTCGTATCCTCTATTGGTCTTGATATGATCTGGTAAAACTAGTTAATATAATGCAAATAGTTAAGATAATTAACCACTGCAGGAAATTAAATGATCAATCTACTACATTCTACAAAACGTTAAAATTTTTATCTAAAGCCCATCGATTGAAGAGTGCTATTTTGACTGGAACACATGGATTTTGGAAGGAACGTGGAATATATATCCCAAGTCTTAATAGGATACATATGGGCATGGGTAGCTTGAATCATGCATGTCAACATTATAATTACAAGTGATAGCTGTCAGCATTGCCCGATACACCTCTGCCTTAAGGTTCTTAACATGCACCATAAAGCCACTGTCCATATTCAGCTTGTCAACAATGAATGACTTCAATTTTCCAAGGTCTTGCTTCGACCGTAGGATAATCATGAGCACCTCAAACTCGACCTTGTCTTTGGGAGGTTGTGCATGCATCTTCATTGTCGCATACACAACCAAAGTCGAATGGGGATCCATTATCTCTGTTTCCTTAAATTTCCCATTTATTGGTTTAATCCAGATGCCAACGTAATCGTTTGTATTGTTGGTTAGGGTCACTGGGCATCCAGATCCAGTAGTTTCCTTGTTTTTTGGCTCCAAGGGGAAGAGAAGGCGCTGCGGGTAGACCTCAAGAAGCTTGCTCGTCTCAGAGGAACAGGTGTATATCTGCAAGCAACAGCCACAAATAATCAACTCACAAATGGTACCTTGACGTGCCATGTATAGCAATTGGCATGGCGTCCAGCTATTTCAAACAACTTAGATTTCACTATCGACTTCAGTATGCTGCAATTTCTCTCGAATGCATGTTTGGATGCAACAAAAGGTACCTTATATCCGCCAGTCTCTTCGGGTTCCTTGGATATGCTGATTATTTTCTGCGGATGGAATGGTGCTGCAGAAACTCCCACTGACTGTGCCTCGCCCACCGACATGGAAATAGAGCTACTTGCCTACATAACAATGAAGATCACCAATTCTCATCAAAGAAAAAAAAGGAAAGAATGAAGATCATCAAGACACAATGTAACATCTCAGAAAAACAAACAACTTTTCTGCTTGACAAGAAACTACTGTTATAGAAGTTGAGCTTAATTACTGGTATAGATCAGTTATTATAGCTCGAGGCATCCTTTTATATGAAATCGGGTTGCCCAACTATAACAATGATTTAAATGAAACTTAAGCATATGAAATACCTTATTGATAATAACAGTACTAGAGCCTTGTCCAACCACACTGGCCACTGAAGTGGACTCAGCTAATCCTGCCAGAAGAACAATAAATACATGTGACAGTTTAGATTACACCTGTAATGTCTGTACTAGTGGTACTGTAAAGACACATTTTTAAGTTTGATTTCATCCATTCTTATTTAACAGCATGATGCAGAGTAACATGGAAAATGCAACGTTACCAACAAAACAAATAGATTTTGGTATCATCCTGCATGATCAGTGAGGCACTAGGCCTAGCGTGACATACATACATACATACATAAAGATGTTGTGCTGTGGCAAGGTAAGGCAACGATACCTCTTCTTGCAGATGAACAGCGGGCTGTGTAGCAACAATATGCAGAATCTTGGCCACAATTTCCTTAAGCTCGGCCAGCTTCGAGCTGTTCAAGTCATCGTTGGCAAGATGCATGGCGTTCATGTTGAGCTGCACGGCGTTCATGTTGAGCAGCACATCGAGGCAGACCCCGCGCAGCTTCTCGGCGATGTCTTTGGCGTTAAAAGCACGGCCACAGCGCAGGACCCCCTTGCGCTCGCACTTGGCGACAAACTCGGACGCGCGCTTGAGGGCCTTGTGTAGGCCATCCGCCGTGTCCCTCATCAAGTCGTCCACCATGATCTTGGGCAGCCCCTGCAGGCGATGGGCGATGGCGCTGAGGTCGAGCAGGAAGGCGTGGATCGTGCGGCAGTCCTCCGCGTTGTGTTTGGCGTTGTCCAGCAAGCTCATGGTCTTGAACCCATACCCCACGAACTCCTTTATGGTGCTGAGAGGATCGGCCATCTCTTCCTCCGCACGAGCGCAATCGATTGGTCGGTCTACAAAACCAATGGATCGAAATTTCCCCTTTGCAGATGGGGGCAGGTTGGAGCTGGACAAACAGAGGAGATGGATAAGGTTGTTAGGACAAGGAAAAGAGGGGTTAATTGATCCTAACAGAAGCTTAACATTAATCTGAAGTCAACTAGGAGTAATATCCAACAACGGAATCAGAGGTGATCTGATCATGTTAGAGTCGTAATTAATTTCGATTGTGAGATCATGTTAAGTCTTAGCCTGCGTAATTAGCATGTTAATGATCAGGTTAAGTTTTACTTCTAGTATTTGCTACGGAACAGTAGAGATAAACATGTATAAGAAATTAATTAGATTATTGTAATACTAATAATGTTTACTTGCTCACGGTGATGTCTTATAGGTAATGAAGTGTTGATGTTTTAGCTAGCACTGTTCCGGTACATTAGCAATCAAGAGGAAGCGAGTCAGCACGGCAATTGAAAGAAACATCCCTGCAAACCCTAATCCTAATTTTGCAAACAGGACGTATTCCCAGTCGGGGAAGAAATCCCAAAAACCGATTTTTGTGTAGTGCACTGCAGTGGAAGTAAAATAAAGAAGAGGTTCATCGGTACCTCTACCTCAGCTGACGACGCTGCGCCGCCGCCTCTTCGTCGCACCCCTGGCCCTGGGCCGTCGCTCTTCTCCGACCAAGAGGACGTGCGTGCGGGAACGAGGCGCTGAGCGCGAGGGTCCCGGCCGCCGCCGATGAAGGCCGCGCGCGACTGTCAAGCAAGCACCACTGGATTGCTTGCTTGGTTTCTATAGGTTCACCGTCAAGCCGGCTGGTTTGCATTTTTTTTTTAGAAACGCCGGATGATTTGCATTGGTTTGTGCCCAGCCTTGCGTGGTGTGTGCTGTGTGTGGCTGTTGAACCATATAGAATCTGAGCTTTGTGCTTGACTGATGAAACAAGAAATGTTATTATTACTATCACGAGTGCTTTGTTAATTATATGGTAATTTGTGATTTTGCTGAAGACGGTATATAATCCTGAGGTGCTGCCATTAAGTACTGTACTGAAGAGTTTGCGAAATCCAGCAGCCGCCATTTGGATCGGTAACTTTGTTCCCTGCCAATTTGTTCTACTAGGTTGTATTCAGATGATTGCTAGTTTAGAAATGGGCTGATATACACACGGTCGTCTCACCGAAGCAGAGTAGTAGAGAGAGAGAGAGAGATGCCGGAGAGAAGGCAAGCGGATAGTTCTGCCCACTGCCGTCGCCCGTCGGCATCCCGTCGGAGAGCTGGAGTGGAGTCGTCACGACTTGATCTGCAAGTGTTGGGTTCCGTCGCCATTGGCGTGACCGTGTGAGGAGGCAGGCAGCATCTATGCGTGTCTGTCCCGTCGTCGGAAGGTGGAAGATTGTCTGTCAGGCCCCAAGTCGGGCCGACCTGAGGCCCGAAACCTGAAGCTACAGGCAAGTATTCAGATTTGAGAAACCAGAGCAAAAGCAGATGAAGCTAACTACATGTAGATATTCAGAGTTGAGAAAAACAGAGGAAAGCAGAGGAAGTTCAGCTTATGCCGCCGAAGCTCAACAGAGTTTGCAATCCAGGACCTTTGGCTCCAAAGACAGACTTAGTTAACAGCGTCATCATCAAGGGATCTCCCGAAGGTCACATTCCTGTTGAGGATTGTACAGATCCTGAATACATAAATTCAGAAACAATCACATTACTTTCTGCCTGTGCCTCCTCTGGAAGTCTGAATTTTCTGCTAAAGGGTTCCTTTTGTGTGATGTTTCTTCGGATTTGGTTCGCCAACCTGAGCCTTTTGTTTGGCAGGCTGTGTGTGCTTTTTGAAAACATGTTTAATGTTTGGCACGGCCGGCCCTGTGTTTTGGAAGGCCCTAGGCGAACTCGATGACATGGGCCCCTATATAAATTTCAACCAAATTTGACTATAATAATTCAACTGACTCCATCGACAACAATAATAACTATATCCGAACCGACTCCACCGACAACAATAATACTAAAAAGACGGCAAAATAAAACTAACATGCCACGATTACCTCAAATAAGAACCAAATTCAATTGACTTCATCGACAACAATAATACTTCAGTGTCTTCGGACGTTTCTTGATGCAATAATACTTTCTTTCTTCTCCTTTTTTTCAGCACCAACATCTTCTTCTTAGGCAAGATGGCAGGATAATGTCCTAAAATTATGAAGAAAAGAGGGTACAAAGAATTAAGAATTTATAATCGGATGATTGGAACCCTAGACATACATGTGGATAGTTGAATACGTACATACTGCTGAAATTGTCAAATTGGGATCTGGGGGGATGGATTAGGTCATCAGGAACATGGATGGATCATGGATACATATACGGGCTGAAGAAACTGACGGATGGAATGGATCATGGATTACCTCGTTGGCTCGTTGCAGACTTTGGGTTACCGGACTGCTATGCGGCGCGCGCAGCGGCAAGCCGGCGGCGGCCGAGACGGCAAGGCGCCGAGCGCCGAGCGGCAGACAGGACGAAGAGATTAGAGACCAACCGTCCAGACGAAGGAAAGAAAATGAGCAGCCGGTACCGATCGCTGGCGCTAGCGTAACGCTTCGTAATCGATCGCATGGGCCTCACGCCCTAGCCCATCTCGTTTTTTTACCATTTTTTTGCTGGGCATTAGTATGTATATATACTACAACATGGGCCCCCCTCCCGCCTGGGCCCTGGGCCGCCGCCCCACCGCCCATGCCCCAGGGCCGGCCCTGATGTTTGGATTCTGCAGCGCGTGTGGAAAATGTTGTTGCAGTGGCTGACCATTGTTCTGGGAATAAATGATGGGATGATCCATTCCCAGTCATCAAAGACACAGCTGCATTTGCCATGTCAGATCTTGCCACTTTGATCGTACGTACATGATTTACTTCTCGGGATAAATTAGGCTTTGAGGGGTGGCTTTCCAGAACAGACTGCAGCAGCACGGTTCGAGATAACACTTGCAAGGTTCTCTGGTGACGTGTTTCCAAAAACAGAGGCCGGTCGCACCCTAGCCGTCAGATCGGCCCATCCCGAGCCGTTGGATCCTTATCTAACCAGGTCGTCGTCTTCCTCTCGCGAGCGCATAACGAGCATTGTCTCCCTCTAGCGAACCCCGTCTCGCCGGCCGCACGCGTCCCCCCTCGTCGCCACCCCTCCCTCGCCTGCCCTCCTCGTCCCTGGTCGCCGTCCTCGCCGGCCGTCTTTCCCGGCCGCCCTGGTCGCCGGTCCCAGTCCTCGGCGGTCATTCTCATCACCGGCATCGCCCCATGCAACAGCCCACCCCTGCGGTTGTAGCTTCCATGGCCACCGTTGCAGCTCCGGTGGCGACGACCGGAGCTCACCGACGTGCTCACCGGTGTGCTCGCCGCGCGCTCATATCCAGGTTGCAACAAAAAAATCGAGCGCCAGGGGAGATGCCCAGTGCTGCAACCGACGATGGAAAAAGCTACATTCGCTGACGAAAATAGCTTCAACCAGCTATGAAAAAAGTTTCAACTCGTACGACGAAAAACTATGAACGACCAAAGAAAAGCTACAACCGGCGACGAAAAAAGCTTCAACCGTGGAGCCGTAAGCCATGGACGACAAACGAAAAGCTACAACCAGCGGTTACAAAAGCTACAACCAGCGGTTACAAAAGCTACAACCGGCATTGAAAAAAGCTTCAAACTAATTGTCTTAGCTGTGAATCCCGCGATGGCGATGACGTCGTTTTGCTGCAACCATAGTTGGTTTTGCTACAAACGGCGTTAGAATTTGCTACAACCATTTTCACAGCTACTTGCTGCTGCTCCGCCGAGTTCCCACGCCTGCCCATGGCCATCGTCGCCGTGGTGCAGTTCCGGGAGGGAAAAGGTTCAAC